TGGCTGGCCTCCTGTGTAGAGCACCATTGTCCCTTGTCTCTTTTGGGTCCACCAGGCTTAGGTGGGAGATCTTCTGATACGGTCTGTGGTCCCGTCTTCTTCAGCTTAGCTTGTCGTCGTTTTCTCCCTGGGTCTTTTTAGATCATGGAGCATTGCAGTGCTGCTTGGAATCCACATGTCCCTCTCTCCTCTCTCTTCCAGGGAAGGGACATGACAAGAGGAGGTAGTGACATCCCCCTGCCTCTTAACTTCTCTCAGAAAAGTATCTATTTCACCAAATCTTTTTTTCTTGGGGAGTGGGACTTATGTAGCTCAGGCTAGCTGGCCCTCCGTCTACCCATTTTTAAAATGTGATTGCTTGGTTTGGGTTTCTTACTATTGAGTTGTCTTGAGTCCCCTATATGTTCATTGTACTAATCCCTTGTCAGATGGAGAGTTGGCAAACGTTTACAACACTTCCCTTCACTCCGAGTTCCAGAAGTTTCTCCGCTGGATCCAGTCGCATTTGTCTATTATTGGCTTTATTGACTGTGATCTTGGCATCCGATCCAAAATATCACTGTCTACCCATGTCTTGAACTGTTTTTCCAGGTTTGTTTTCTCTAAATTGTTTTACGGCTTCACATTTTACATTTAGATATTTGATCTATTTTGGGTTGGATATTTGTATATGGTGAGAGATGGGGTCAAGTTTTATTCTGTGTGTGGCTATCCAGTCCCCCCAGCACTACTTAATAATGTAAGACAGGGTCCCATTATGTAGCCCAGAGTGGCCTCAAACTCCCAATCCTCCCAGGTTAACCTCTGGAATACTGAGGTTCTATTACAGGCATGTACTCTATACTGGGGTTCTATTACAGGCATGTACTCTATACTGGGGTTCTATTACAGGCATGTACTCTATACTGGGGATCTATTATAGGCATGTACTCTATACCTGGGTTCCAGCATCATTTATTGTGTTTGTAAATCTTTTTTTTTTTTAGTTTATAAAACATTTTGTTTTGTGTATGGGGGGGGGAGTTTGTGCATGCCACAGCATACACGTGGAGGTCATCGGAGAACTTTGGGAGTTGGTTCTCTCCCTCTACCACATGGGTTCCAGGAATGAGGCTCAAGACTTGGCAGCAAACCCTTCTCCACTGAGCCATCTTGACAGCACTTTTCTTAGCTTTTAAAACTACATTTATTAAGTGTGTGCTTGCACATGTGCATGGGTGTTTGTGTGCCACAGCCATGTGTAGTGGTCAGAGGGAAACTTGCAGAGTTTTGTCTTTCTATCTTGTGAATCCCAGGGATTAAATTGAGATGATAAGGTTTGGTGACAAGAGTCTTTACCCACTGAGCCACCTTGTCAACCCATGGCTATAATTCTTGACCTAAACCTGCCTTTTTGAGACAGGGTCTTCCTGTAGCCCCAGCTGTCCTGGAACTCACTATGTAGACAAGGCTGGCCTTGAACTCACAGAGATCTGCCTGCCTCTGCCTCCCAAGTGCTGGGACTACAGGCATGCTTGTTTGGTGACAAGAGTCTTTACCCACTGAGCCACCTTGTCAACCCATGGCTATAATTCTTGACCTAAACCTGCCTTTTTGAGACAGGGTCTTCCTGTAGCCCCAGCTGTCCTGGAACTCACTATGTAGACAAGGCTGGCCTTGAACTCACAGAGATCTGCCTGCCTCTGCCTCCCAAGTGCTGGGACTACAGGCATGCGCCACCACGCCCGGCTATTACTATTTTTAAGTTGCATGTATTTATTTGTGTGTTTGCTTGCATAGGTGTGCCTGAATGAGGGCATGGAGGCCAGAGGAAAACTTGTATATGTCCTTCTATTATGTGGGTGCCCAGGATTGAGTTCAGGTCAATTGCTATTGTTTTGTTGAAATATTTTCTTATCTGGTTAGGGTGATCCTTGATCGAGTCCTCTGGACACCAATGACCCTTATTCAAGATCTTTTCTAGTCTTTTTAGCTCTTGTACTAACATATATGTCTGGGTGAGGGGCGAAGCTGGACATGGTAGAACATGCCTTAAATCAGGAGGCAGATACATGTGGATCTCTGTGAGATTGAGGCCAGCCTGGTCTGCATAGCAAGTTCCAGGCCAGATGGGGCTACGAGAAAACCTGTCTCAAAAACAAACAAAAAAAGTAAAAATAAAACAAAGTGTCCACGTTAATGATAATTTTCCTCTCCTCTGTGTGTGTGTGCGTGTGTGTGTGTGTGTGTGTGTGTGTGACTGGGGATCAGATCCAAGGCAAGTGTGTTACGGCTGAGCTACAGTACCTCCAGCCCCTGATACTTTAGCATAGGTGTGGAGACCAGGCATTTTTCTCACTTTCTCTTTACTTTCTTTTTTGAAACAGGGTCTCACTATGTTGTCCTGGCTGTCCTGGAACTCACTATGTAGACCAGGCTGGCCTCGAACTCATAGATCCACCCGCCTCTGCCTCCTGAGTGCTAGTACAATTCTTTTTGATAGCATCTCACTGTGTAGACCAGGCTGACCTTGATCTCACAGAGATCCACCTGCCTCTGCCTCCCGAATGCCGGGATTAAAAGCAAGGACTACCACACCCGGCATCTAATACGTTTATTTTCAGGTGCAAAATCGCCAACATTTATTTCTCCAGTATATCAGAATTATTAATTCTTAACCCCAGCCCAACCCATGTACAAAGTCAGAGTCTCTTGGAATCTGAACGAATACATAGAGAGCGTTCAACATCTGAACACAGTTTAAGCATTCAGCAAGTTCCGTGTATGAGAAAAAGGAGAAGCCTGTGTACATACGCACGGAGAGATGCCTGGCAAGTACAGGTTCATTTAATTATAGAGAATTAAGCTAAACTTAGTTATACAATGCCTTCACTCCCTGGGTCATTGCTATGACCTCCTATAAAATGTAAACAAGTCATTAAGCAATCTGATTGTCCCTCAGAGAGGGGCTGGGCCACTCTTACCTCTAAATGGGCTCCAAAGAGGGGTGCAATATGGTGTGAGCTGTGCAATATAAAAGAGCCTCCACTTGGGCTGGGGATGTGGCTCCCTTGGTACAGTGCTTCCCTAATAGGATTCTTTGCACCACATAAACAGGACATTGTGGTGCTATCTTGTAATCACAGTACAGGGGAGGTGGAGGCAGGAGGATTAGAAGTTCAACATCATCCTTGGTCGCATCATAAGTTTGAGGTCAGCCTAGGATACATAAAACGCTGCCTAACAAAACAACAAAAGGTCTGGAGAGATGGCTCAGCGGTTAAGAACACCGACTGCTCGTACAGAAGACCTGGGTTCAAATCCCAGCACCCACACGGCAGCTAACAACTGTCCGTAACTCCAGTTCCAGGGGATCCTACAGTCTCATCTGTCCTCCGTGGGCATTGCACGACACGGGTGCACTTACCTACATGCAGGCAATACACGCGTACACATAAAATAAAATAAATAAAATATTTTTTAAAAAAAGAACACTGGCTGCTCTTGCAGAGGACCCAAATTTGGTTCCCAGCACTCACATGACAGCTAACCACCGCCTGCATCTTAATTTTTTTTATCTTTGTGTGTGTGTGTGTGTGTGTGTGTGTGGACACATACGCCATGAAAGGTATGCATGTGGAGGTCAGAGGACAACTTGGGAAAGTCAGTTCTCTCCTTCCACCATGTGGGTCCCCAGGGATCCAACTCAGATCGTCAGGCTTGGCAGCAGGCACCGTTACCTGCTGAGCCACCTAGCCAGCCCCTGAGTTTGCATTTTGAGACAGAAGCATTCTTAGTCGATGCTCCCAGGAGGCTTCACACAGAAGCAAAAGGCAGTAGCTGCCTGCCCTACAGAATAGGTAAAAAGGAGCCAGATAAATCAGGAAGCTTTCCAGTCACGTGATCAAGTGCGTAGAGGTGCAGACTCTTGGGTCTGTCTGTCCGCACCTCACTCTTCTTTCTCCCTTCACATGGCCTCGGTAAGTCTGTTGTATGTAACTGAAAGAATGATACAAAGGGGGCTTGAGACACACGTGTCCAGGGTAAACATGGAGGCCCTGAACACAAGGGGAAGAGGAAAGGAGTGGGAATTGAGGACGTGGAAATCTGTCTGGGTCACGGTCAGTGTCTGTAGAGGGGAATTCCTTCCCCAATGCTCCCAGGGACTCCAACCAGACCCTGTGTAGCACAGGGATCTTATCTAGAAGTCTAGTCAGGGAAGCGCACAGAGCAGGTGGGATACAGGCCTCACTGGACCCCTGATACCTGTTGCATAAATGGAGGGATGCCTTAAACAACTTCACATAAAAAAGTCAAAAACAGTCTGGGGAGAAGGCTTGGTAACGTGCTTGCTGCACAAGCATGAGAATCTGAGTCGGATTCTAGCACCCACGTAAGGGCATGGGCTGCACATGCCTATAAACCCAGCGCTGAGAGGTAGAAGATCCCTGGGGCCTGTTGGCCAGCCAATCTGGCTGAATCAGTGAGCTTCAGGTTCAGTGAGAGACCCTGCCTCAAAAAATAAGGTGGAGAGTGATGGGGATGATGATGCTGGGGTTAGGGGTGCATGCAAAGCCATGTCAGGTTTGGTTATTTTGAGTGTTTTGCCTGCATGTATACATGTGCACCACGTGCATGCCGTGCCCTTGGGGGCCAGAGAGGGCATCAGGCCCCTGGAACTGGAATTACAGGCAGTCGTGAGCCATCACATGGGTGCTAAGAACCAAATTCAGGTCCTCTGCAAGAGCAGCCAGTGTTCGTAACTGCTGAGCCATCTTTTGGCCCTGATGCCAGGCTCTGTATGTGGGTGGAGGATCCAAACTCCCATGCCAGCATGGCAAGCACACTTACCCGCCAAGTCACCTCTCCCGCTTACTAGTGATTACTTGTGACTTGTTTGTCTAATCACCAGCCTTCATCAAACGTTATCTGTGTCTAGGTATCAGTTTAAAGAGAACAGAAAAGAAAGGCCTCAGGAGCTGCTACAAAAGGCTGCACCCCACCCACCCACCAGGGGACAGATGACAAGCAGCCGCACACAGTCAGTGCGAGAGAAAGCTTCTTTGGGTACATACCCCAGGCCCTCAGCCCGCACCTCTCAAGTGGACAGGAGCGCAGAGGCCAGCCAGGCCCTGAGGCAGGAACAGGGTACCAGGCCCAGCCCAGTAAGGGCAGTGTTACCAAAGAGACAGGATGAACAGAGAACTCTGGCAGAGAAGGTGACCACTGTGAGGCCTGAATTAAGGAAGCATCAGATCAAGGCAGAAACCAAGGCAAAGATGCTCTCTCCAGAAAGTCAGGGCAAAATACTGACCACAGGAGTGTTGTTAACAAGGCTGAGAAAGAGACCCAAGACCACAGAAGCTGCCTCAGCCAAGGAGAAGGCAGCCCAGGCCACTCCACCCCCTACCCCTTTCCCACATCCCATCACACAAAGAAGCCAAAGCCTGAAGGCCTCCAACTTCAAGTCTGAACCTCGGTGGGATTTTGAAGAAAAATATAGCTTGGATGTGGGAGGCCTGCAGACGGTGAGTTTACATTCCTTATGCTTTTTCCCTCACGGATCCCGCCCTGAAGGCTCTCCCCAGAGGTAGCCCTCCCTCCTCCAGTCTCAGCTTTCAGTCTGTACCTTGACCTACCCTGTGCTTAGCTCCACACTGCCCTCATCCAACCATTCCTTCCTAGGACAGTCAGAATGGGGGAGAAGGCGGCAAGGCCCATGACCCTGGTCTGAACAGTGCAGGAAGGTGTGGGAGAAAGCATCTTCCCTGGAGCTTGAAGAAGGCTTGGGGTGGATCACCAACCTATGGGGAGTGAGTGTGGCCAGTTCTGGGTTGGGAGATACAAATCTTTATTCTCTGGCAGTAGGAAGGGACAGGGACTAAGTGGTAAGAAGACTCAGCTTCTTGTCCAGCTGCTGTCCCCAAGTTATGCTGTCATCCTTGCAAAACCCACTCTAGAACCTTCACTCTACTCCAGCCTCGAGAAAAACTACCTTCACTTTAACCACACCACCACCCATCCAATCTTCTTCACCCTTATCCAGTAGGGCAGCATTCAAAACATGGCTGACAGCCTTCCTGGGCCTCTCCCTGCCTGACCTCCGTGTCCCCTTTTGCATGTAGACCTGCCCCGACTCTGTGAAGGTCAGAGCCTCCAAGTCACCATGGCTCCAGAATGTCTTTCTGCCCAACCTCACTCTCTTCCTAGACTCCAGACACTTTACCCAGAGAGAGTGGGACCGTCTGGAGCACTTCGCTCCACCCTTTGGCTTCATGGAGCTCAATCAGTCCTGTGAGTCCTCACTCCAGGGTGGAGGGTGGCTGGCTTCCTGCCTCTTTCCTGGAAGAAGTGATGGGCTGGACTCTGGTCCCTTCCAGGGCTCTGAATAGAACCCTTGCTTTGTTCCAGTGGTGCAGAAGGTTGTGACCCGCTTCCCTCCGGTGCCCCAACAGCAGCTGCTCTTGGCTGGCCTCGCCCCTGTGGACTCTGGGTGTATCACCTGTGCTGTGGTGGGCAATGGAGGCATCCTGAACAACTCGCACATGGGCCAGGAGATAGATAGCCATGATTATGTGTTCAGGTAAGTTCTCCCTTTCCAGCCCCCCACTTGCAGACATGGATATCCTAGGAGACCTGACAAGTGTTCCGTCTTTTCTGTCTATATTTCCTGCCTCCCGCACTTCACCCGCCTCCACACATGGCTCTCCTGCACTCAACATGGTCTGATCTGATCTTTCCATACAGATTGAGTGGAGCTGTCATTAAAGGCTATGAACAGGATGTGGGGACCCGGACATCCTTCTACGGCTTTACTGCCTTCTCCCTGGTCCAGTCCATCCTCACACTGGGTAGCCGGGGTTTCCAGCATGTACCTCTGGGGAAGGTGAGCAGACAGGAATAGGCCTGGCCCCACACAGCCTCCAGACAAGGGAGCCCCAGAAAAGAAAGATGAGCACTTCCCAAATGTATGGAGTCTGGATCATCCACAGGCTCTGTTGGTAAGAGGGTCTGAGCCGCAAGGACAGCTAAATGGGCCAGAGGAGCCAGTGGGAAGTCTTAAGGTAGAGCCAGGGCACCCCCATCCCAGGGTCTTTAAGGGAAGTACTGGACCACTTGCTGTCCTTTGTCTTCAGGATGTCTACTACCTACACTTTCTGGAAGGCACCCGGGACTATGAGTGGCTGGAAGCAATGTTTTTGAATCAGACTCTGGCGAAAACCAAACTTTCCTGGTTCAGGTACCTTTCCTCATTCCTGCCCCACCCACAAAGCCCAGGCCAGGCTGTGAAGTGAGTGGCTGGAAGAAAAGGGTTCGACAGGTGGGACTACCTCTACCATCACCTGGAGATGGGATGCCGGTCACACCCATGACCCTGACTTGGCCACCAACAGGGCCTTAGTAACCCATCCCTGACCACAGGCACAGACCCCAGGAAGCTTTTCGGGAAGCCTTGAACTTGGACAGGTACTTGTTGCTGCACCCAGACTTTCTCCGGTACATGAAGAACAGGTGAGCAGGTGAGCTGTGAGGGGTCCTGTCCCTTTCATCCTTGCATATTCCTGATGGTCGGGGATCTGGGTATTTGTAACAGGTTTCTGAGGTCAAAGACCCTGGACACTATCCACTGGAGAATATACCGTCCCACCACAGGTGCTCTCCTGCTGCTCACTGCCCTTCATCTCTGTGACAAGGTAAGGCTGTAGTAACTGGAGAAGCAGTTCAGGGGCTGACCTGGCTTGGGATGGCGGCTGGGATGGATGCACAGAACAGGGAGTGGGCCTAAGTATGCATGTGCACCCAAGGAACCTGCAGCAAGGGACAGTTCCTTGATAAAGGGGCAGCCTGCCCATGAGACGAAGTCCCCAGGGGACAGCCACTGCAGTGTCTGCCCTTCCTCCAACCTTTATGCAGGTGAGCGCCTATGGCTTCATCACCGAGGGCCACGAGCGCTTTTCTGATCACTACTATGATAAATCATGGAAAAAGTTGATCTTTTATATAAACCATGACTTCAAGTTAGAGAGAACAGTCTGGAAGCGCCTGCATGATGAAGGCATCATATGGCTGTACCAGCGTCCACAAGCTACAGAAGCCAAGAATTGATGGGCGCCTGGGCTGCAGGAGTCTCTTCACTCAGCTCAAGGTGAGAGTCTGGAGACTGTCCTAACCTTCTCCCAGGTCTCAGACCAGCCCCGAGCCTGGCAAGACTCCAGAGGAACTGTGCAGAGGCAGAAACTTCCTCAAGATAGCAAAATCACTGACAGAGGGTTTGGAATCCTTTTAAAAACTGCCGTGGGTTCTGATGGAGAGTCCGGTGACCAGGGATGCTTTTACTAAATAGTTTTTGCTGCCAAGAACTCTTCACCATCTGAAAGTTACCTGTAGAGAGGAAAGAGACTGGTCTTACAGAGACAGATCTGGTTTGAATTCCAGGTCTTTCACTTAACAGTGAAATCTTGGAGACATTGCTTAATTTCACCACAGATTGTCTAAAGGATGTGTATGGTCTGGTTCTAAAAAGGCTATTCTATTTCTTATTTGAGTTGCTTCACAACTTGATGTGTTGTAGGAAATGGGCAGAAATGCTGATGATCCTTGTCCATGTACACAGAAATAAATTCCGCACAATAAAGATGCGAGTCCTTATTGTCCTCTGGGCACCCACCAGTTTGGACTCTGTTAAGTCCATTTGGCATTCCTCAGCACCAAAGCAGGAATTTGTTCCTTGAATTTGCCTTTGAATCAGTTTTTACACCTGACTGAACCAGTTTTTACATCTATTGACTCGTTCATCAACTGCTGAGTTGTGTTTTATATTTGTATGAGAAATGCAATCTTAACCATTTTTTTATTGTTTTGCTACATTTATTTCTTTATGAGGGGGTATGTATGCTGTGGCGCACATTTAAAGGTCAGAGAACAACTTTGCAGGGTTCTCTCCATCCATTATATGTGTTCTGGGGACACAGGTTATCAGGTATAGCAGTGCCTTTACTCCCTAAGCCATCTGGTCAGCCCCTTATCCTACTGTTCTTATTTTTTTTTAATTTATGTGTATGAGTGTTTTTCCTGTATACATGTATGTGTACCACATTTGTACCTGGTGCTCACAGAGGCCAAAAAAGGGCATCAGGTTCCCTGGAACTAGAATTACAGTTACAGGTGATTGTGAACTGCCGTGTGGGTGCTGGGAACTGAACTCGGGTCCTCTGCAAGAACAGCAAGTGTTCCTAACTGCTGAGTCATCTCTCCAGCCCTTCCCTCACCTTTTAAAAAATCATCTTTTGCCGGGCGTGGTGGCGCATGCCTTTAGTCCCAGTACTCGGGAGGCAGAGGCAGGTGGATCTCTGAGTTAAAGTCCAGCCTGGTCTACATAGTGAGTTCCAGGACAGCTGGGGCTACAGGGAGACCCTGTCTCAAAAAGACCAAAAAAAAAATCATCTTTTAATATTTCCTTGGGTAAATTTTCTAATCTGTAGAATGACTTCTAAACTCTCCAGTTCTCAAGAATTTTTGGTCTGCTGAGGGTTTTGTTTGTTTTTTGTTGTACTGGGGATCAAACCCAGAGTTTTGTGCATGCTAATCAAACACTCTACCAATTGAGCTGTACCCCCAGCCCTGTTGGTTTATTTTGAGACAGGGTCTCACTCTGTAGCCTAGACAGACTGACCTAATGCTCACCGTGTATCCCAGACTGGCCTGGAACTAGTCACAACCCTCCTGTCTCAGCCTTCTGAGTATTGAGATCACAAGTGTGAGCCACCACACGCAGCTTCCACTATGATTTTTAAAGGATTATATTTGAAAATACACAACAAAAAAATTGAGTTTTCAGGCTGGGGAATGTAAGTCAGTTGCAGAGTGTTTGCTTAAATGCAGGAAGCCCTGGGTTTGATCCCCAGTACCACATAAAACTTGGCATTGAGGGGGGGAGCACATGCCTGAATCTCAGCACTTGAGAAGTGGAGGCAGGAGGAGTGGAAGCTCAAGTCAGTCTCAGCTACACAATGAGTTCAAGGCCAGTCTCCCAAAGGTGGTGGGGAGTGGGGGAGAGGACTTTGATCTCTAATTTTTCTGTCTTCCCCTCAACCTGCTTTCTTGTTCAAACCCCACAATGAGAATTTGAGCCAAGCAAAACCCTGTTCCTTCACATAACCTTTTAAACTCTGTGTTCAGGATTTGGGAGTCAGGAACCCAAAAGTACTTTAAAGAATCTACACAGAATGAAGCGCTCTGGTGTGGGTGGAAGGCAAAATAAATAACTAAATAATAAATAAATAAATAATATAAATATAAATAAATAAAAGTAAGCTTCCTTTAGACTTCCTGCCCAGGAGGGTACCCTAGGGTACCAAAGGGCAGGAGGAAGATTTGCTCACAGTGCAGTAGCTCCGGCCAGCAGGGGCGCCCGTCCCGCTCGCATTGCAGGAAGGAGGCGGCACATCGCAGGTCTCAGGAGGGTTTGGGATGGGCAGAGCCCATCTGGGCAGCTCCCTGCTTTGGGGTGCTCTGTCCGGGGCACAGCTTGGGCAGAGCGCGAGCTGGTGCCGGGCGGAGCAGGGCGGAGGCGCGAAGGGTGATGTAAGGGGCGAGGCAGCCCTGGCTATCCCGGGGAGGGGTATCACACAGCAGGGCAGCACCGGCTCACGTGTCCTGTGCCACGTCCGTCTCAGGTGGGCGCAGGCTGGGACTCAATCTTCTGAACCCCCCTTTGCGGTGTCACGCTGCCTCTAAAGTGGAATAGACGGTTAGCCGACACTCGGGGGAGCAGCCAATAGAATGAAAGAGGCTCCTTGGTGCAGGCTTACCCTGCATGTGCAAGGGCCGGTTCCATCCAGAACCGGAGGAAGAGCAGCTTTTTTTTTTTTTTCTTCTTTTTTTGGCCTTTTGAGACAGTGTCTCCCTGCTCGATATATAGACCAGGATGGCCTTGAACTCACAGAGATCTGCCTGCCTCTGCCTCCGGAGTGCTGGGATTAAAGGTGTGCACCACCACGCCTGGCTGGAAGAAAAGTTTTTTAAAAACTCCTAGAAGCATAAGAATTATAAAATAGCCTGCTGTGGTGGTGCACGCCTTTAATCCCGGCAAGAAGGCAGAGGGAGGCTGAGCTCTGTGAGCTTGATGTCAGCCTGGCCTACATAGCTAGTTGCAGGCCACCTAGGGTTCATAGTGAGACCCTGTCTCAACAACAACAACAAATATATATAAAACTATAGCAAAACTGTATGTATAGATGATGTGATTGTGTATGATATTTTAGAGATGCAGTAAAATTAATATACAAAGTCAATAGCTTTCATTAACATAAAGAGCCAGGCAGGGGATAAAGGTATGGAAAACCCAGTTTAAACAGCAATAAACACTGGGCATGGTGGCACATGCCTTTGATCCCTCGGGAGACAGAGGCAGGCAAATCTCTGAGTTCAAGGCCAGCCTAGTCTACATAGTACATTCCAGGTCAGGTGGGGCTACAGGGAGATAACAACGACAACAACAAACCCAGCAATAAAGACAATAACGTACTAGTCACAGATTTGACACCCTGTGTTCAAATTCTGTATGAGGAAGACATTCAAACACCCCAGAAAGCCACAAAGGCAGATTTAGCCAAATGTAGACCTGTCTTTTGTCCCTGGGAAAGAAACACGATATAATAAATTTGTCACTTGTCTCCAAGCTAATTTATAAGTTGACTGCAATTGCAATAAAAATGTCAAAATGCTTTTTTTTCTAGAGCCTAAATTGACTATGGAGGAATAAACATTTAGGGATAGCTAGGAACCTGCAAGAAAAATGATCAGATAAGTCTAATTCTACCAACTACTAAGACATACTATAGGCTGGGCGTGGTGGCGCACGCCTGTGGTCCCAGTACTCGGGAGGCAGAGGCAGGCAGATCTCTGTGAGTTCAAGGACAGCCTGGTCTACATAGTGAGTTCCAGGACAGCTGGGGCTACAGAGAGACCCTGTCTCGAAAAGACAGAAAAAAAAACAAAACAAAAAAAAAACATACTATAAAGTCAAAAACAGTGTGGACTGAGGCATGAACAGAATAAATAGCACAGGAAGTCCAGTAACAGACCGCAAAGGTCCAGAAGTCACTTAGTGCAGCAGACTCAAAAGAATACACTCGAATGGTTCCGAGAACCTAATGTAAAAACTGAAAAGATTCGAGAACTAAGAATTCTCAAGTGTAAAAGAAAGTTATTTGTGACTCAAAATCTAGAGGCAAAAAAAAAAAAAATGGATAAATGTTACCACATAAAAATAGTGTGATTTGGGTTGGGCCTGATGGTACACGCCTTTAATCCCAGCACTATGGAGGCAGAGGCAGGCAGGTCTCTGTGAGATCCAGGCCAGCCTGGTCTACATTGTGAGTTCCAGGCCAGCTGGGGCTACAGGGAGACCCTGTTCCAAAAGACAAAAAACAAACAAGTGATTTGGCATGGCACAAAAATTCACCATAATGTTAAATGTGTCATAGATGAGACATCTGTATCATCCCCTCCAAACCTCAGGAAGGAAAAAGGTCAGAAAGAATGTAAGAGTCACAGGAAGTGGGGAGGAAATGGTGTGGAGCACTGACTTCCTGGCACGACAAAGCTGCTGCACTTTTGAACTCACAGCACAAGATGGCCTGTCAACACCTGTCATGATGGAAAGGGTCTGGTGGGGCTCCACCCTTCCCTGAGGATCTACAGGCAATGGTTGATGGCAGAGAGAGTTCAGTGGTGTAGACACTGGTAAGGCACTGATACTCCTGCAAATAACCTCTCATCCATGTACCTGTAAGAAACCCTGATAAGGGGCTGGAGAGATGGCTCAGCAGTGAAGAGCACTAACTGTTCTTGCAGAAGGCCTGGGTTCAAATCCCAGCACCCACATGGCAGCTAACAACTGTAACTCCAGTCCCAGGGGATCCGACAGCCTCTTCTGCCTTCCACGGGCACTGCACGACAGGGTGCACTTACGTATGTGCAGGCAATACACTCATACACATAAAATGAAAATAAATAAAATATTTTTAAAAAAATTAAGACAAGGTCTCAAGGCAGGGTGTGGTGATGTACACCTTTAGTCCCAGCAAATGCAGGTAGATTTCTGAGTTCCAGACCAAA